AAGTGACTACATGGAATGTTGTTGATGGGAACACAAAGGAAATGGGTCACCCCCTCAGGCCTCAAAGTTGTTTTATTAAGGAAATATGAGGACTAAAGAGGAAACAAATGTTAATGGCATGTCCTCACCGTGAAACATTGTTTTCCCCCCCTCCTAAATCTGTGTTGTCAATAAAGTTGAAGCTAATAAGAGCAGACACGCAACTGTAGGTCTGATTTGGAAAATGGAATGTAGAACATTTGGAATTAAAGAGAAACTTCCTAACAGTGAGAACAATCAACCAGTGGAACGGCTTTTGCCTTCAGAAGTTGTGGGTGCTCCCTCACTGGAGGTTTTTAAGAAGAAATCGGAAAAACATTTGTCTGAAATGCCATAGGGTCTTCTGCTTAAGCAGGGGTTGGACTAGAAGACCTCCAAGGTCCCTTTCAACTCTATTCTGATTGATTGATTGATTAAGTGATTGATTGATTGATTGATTGATTGAGAAGTTTGGGACAGAAGGCCTCACAATGTTGTGGCTCCGTTGCCTGAGCCTGGGCTATCGACAGATGCAGACTCTGAGAGTGAGGGAGAGGAGTTGCCAAGGCCTCCCTCTCCAGGACCCTCCTCTCTGGCAATGCCTCCGGAGGACAACGAAGGCCAAAAGATAGGCTCAGAGCCAAGCACGTCCCCGCAGCCACAGGTGGACAGCGACAAGGAAGATAAGTGCTGGCTGGACCCTCGACAGAGGTGCAGGGAGAAGCATGCACAGCAGAGGGGAAGGCATGCCAGAGATTAGCTGAGTCACTGGACCACACCCCACAGGGTATAAATGTGGGTGTGGTGGCCGGTTCAGTTTGTGACGAACAAAAACTGGAAATAATCCATGATCTCTGCGTTACTGGACTTTGCCTGCTTTATCGGACTGCATCTGGATGAATCCTTGTATTGTTGACACTCTGCCTGTTTTATCGGAATGCTTGCAGTCTAATCTTTGTTTTGTGTGAGTAAAGTCTGAATTGGCAGCTAGCCACTGGGTTGCTGCCAGCTTTATCTTCAAACAGTTTTGTCGTGTGGCTTATTAACTCCAGGCCGTCTGTGGGGGTGCGTGTGTGGTACGGGGACAGAACACACAAACAAGTTCTAAGGCATGAAGGCCTCACAAACAAGTTCTAGACCCATCGCACAGTTCAGCTCTGCCATGTATGCATGCGCACCTCCTGCTGTCCAGCTGGGTCTCTGCCACACATGCGCAGGGGTGGGGCACATGCGGGGGGGCATGCAGGGCACATGTGGGGCATGGGGCGTGTACAGGGGCACGTGCACAGAGGGCTGCATGTGCATGCACACAGAGGTGGGGTGCATGCAGGGGGTGCATGCACATTGCATTTTGGGGGTTCAGATGTGCTTTAGGCACTCGGTCCAGAAAAGGTTAGCCATCACTGATGTAGACCATGTGGGAATCATGATATAACCACTAATGATGAGAAGAGCAACCTGGATGATTAGGGGACTGGAGACTAAAACATATGAAGAACGGTTACAGGAACTGGGAATGGCTAGTCTAGTGAAGAGAAGGACCAGGGGTGACATGATAGCAGTCTTCCAATATTTGAAGGGCTGCCACAGACAGGAGGGGGTTGAGCTATTTTCCAAGGCACCTGTAAAAGAGACTGTAAAGAGACACTGTAAATGCAGGTCAGTTACCAAATGCCCAAAATGTGATCGCATCACTGTAGGAGGGCAGTCATTGAAACTTCAAATCCAGGTTGTAACAAGTAGCTTTTTTGTGATCCGTCATGATTTCAAACAATCTCACCAAGTGACCGGTTAGAAAGCTAGGGACTCTCTGTGTAGAAGAAGACCATTTGGGAGCTTCAGGTGGTCTAGAATGCAACAGTCTCATTATGGACTGGTATTGGTTGGGCTTCCTGGTGCAAATCAAGATGTTGATTTTCACATGTGGTGCTTTGGGGAAGATTTCTGGCACTGCTTTTCCATGAGAATATCTAGGTTTTGAAACAGCCTCTTTCTGAAGATGAAAATCATCATCATCATCATCATTTTAGCCCTTGTCTATCCACTACAGGATGAAGGTTTCTTCTGCATGTTTCCAACACATACAGCCCTGAGCTTCCTTTGGCCAGTTGGGTCCACCATATTTGCTGATGTCGTCCATCCATCTTGTTTTAGGTCTCTTTCGTGGACACTTTTGATCAAGTGGGATCCATTCTACAACTGCTTTGGTTCCACCACCTGCCATCAATTCTTCTTGGTCTGTGACCAGCCCATTTCCATTTCAATGCTTTTATTCTTTTGATTGCATCCTATATTTTCGTTTGTTTTCTAATCCATGTGCAGGTCTTTCTATCTTGCCTTGTGATGCCGAGCGTGCATGGCTTTTTGCACCACTCGTAGCTTTTGTATCGATTGTGAAGTTAGTGTCCATGTTTCACCAGCATAGAGTGAAACTCATCTTCTAAGAGCCGTGGTGGCACAGCTGTTAGAGTGCAGTACTGCAGGCTACTTCTGCTGACTGCCAGCAGATAGGCAGACCGAATCTCACCAGGTTCAAGGTTGACTCAGCTTTCCATCCTTCCGAGGTCAGTAAAATGAGGATCCAGATTGTTGGGGGCAACAGGCTGACTCTGTAAACTGCTTAGAGAGGGCTGTAAAGCACTATGAAGCAATATATAAGTCTAAGTGCTATTGCTATTGCTATAGGTAGCAATATTGCTGCAGGTAGCACCCACTGATCGAAAGTGTTTCTCTTCAGGCATAGAGGGAGGTTGTTCTTGAAAATTATGCTTAGCTTGCCGAATGTCTGTCAACCACATTAAACACACCATTCAATCTCCTTTATTGTATCACCTTCCATTGAGATCCGTTGGCCAAGCTATATGTAGTGGTCTACTACATCTAGTTCTTCTCCAGATGTAATGTTTTTTCTTTCTTTAGTGAATTTATTAAACATAACCTGGCTCTTTTTCAAGTTTATTTTTAAGCTAAAACTTAACTATTACAATAATAATTATTGACTCTTCCGGGTGCGCTTCAAGGTGTTGGTGACCACCTTTAAAGCACTCCATGGCTTAGGGCCGGGGTATCTACGAGACCGCCTTCTGCCGCAAATAGCCTCCCACTGGCCAGTACGCTCGCACAGAGAGGGCCTCCTCAGGGTGCCGTCCGCCAGACAATGTCGGCTGGCGACCCACAGGGGGAGAGCCTTCTCTGTGGCCACACCTGCCCTCTGGAACAACCTCCCCCTAGAGATACGCACAATACCAGATCTCCGGACTTTTCATCGGGCCCTGAAAACTCATTTATTTCACCTAGCTGGGCTGGCTTGATCCCATCCGTTTCGGTTTTAATTTGAAATTGGTTTTAATTGGGTTGTTTTAAATTGTGGGCCGAAATTATTTAATTACCTTTTAAATTGTTTTTTAAATTTTGTATGCTCTGTTTTTATCTCAGCTGTTCACCGCCTTGAGTCCTGCTGGAGAAGGGCGGTATACAAATCAAATCAAATAAATAAAATGAATAAATAAATAAATAAAAGATATTAAAAAAAGACTACAGAGTAACAGAGTCAGAAGGGACCTTGGAGATCTTCTAGTCCAACCGGAAGGGTTTATGGAGAGCAAGGGGACCACTAAATATGTCCTTATTATTACTTTTTCAAACACAATTGCATATGATACATTTTAATCTCTCTGGGCAAGAGACCCGTAATAAACCCCAGTAACTAAGCGAGGAAGTAAATGATTAATTTAATTTATATTATTTACCAGGGATGATAAGAGATAATCATTGTTATTATCTCTTGTTCTTGTGGCTATTAAGATTGTGAATTGCCAAAATGTCCGGCTTGATTACAGCAGCGTACCAATCGAATAAATAAATACAATTTTTAAAAAAAAACACATTACCCCATTTAATATCGTAAATTAAATATTAAATCTAAGTAAGTAAGGGAAGGAGGAAGATATGATAGTGAACAAGACACAAGTTACCTCTTTAAACAAGCCATAATATTTGTTTTAGCAGAATATCTTAGTTCATTGGAAAGAAACAAAACAACTGCTTAATAATTTGTTCAAGAATGGAATAGGAAGATTCCCACAGCAGGAAGTTTCATCTTTTAAAGGGATACTTAGCTTCAGGTCATTATTCAAAGCCTTTGAAATTAGGCTAAGAAGACCTATGTTTCAGCTAGATTTTTTTTATATGGCTTAATTGGTTGGGTATAGTACAGGTACCCCTTGACTTATGACCACAACTGAGCCCAAAATTTCTGCTGCTAAGTGAGACATTTGTCCAGCAAGCTTTGCCCCATTTGCCCCATTTTACGACCGTCCTTGCCACAGATGCCACAACGGCGATTCACTGCTGTTGATAAGCGAGTCACCCGGTTGTTAAGTGAATCTGGCTCCCCCATTGATTTTGCTTGTCAGCAGGTCGCAAAAGTCTATTCTTTTCTCCCTCATGCAAATCCCTCGCTCTCCCATTTAACAGATTTAACAGAGTTGGAAAGGACCTTGTAGGTCCGTGATGGTGAACCTATGGCACGTGTGCCACAGGTGGCACACGGAGCCATATCGGTGGGCACGCGAGCTCAGCTCTGCTGCAAATGCCCACGCCAGTCAGCTGATTTTTGAGCCTTCTGGGTCCATTGGAAGTCCGCAAACAGGCTGTTTCCGGCCTCCGGAAGGCCTCTGGGAGGGGGTGTGGAAGGCACTTTTCACCCTCCCCAGGCTCCTAGAAAGGCTCTGGAGCCTGGGGAGGGCGAAAAATGGGCCTACCAGGCCCAGTGTGCCATCACATGCCAAAAGCGGGGGAAACGCAGGGAGGGATCACACATACATGCGTGGGGGCAGGGCGCATAGAATTACAGGTATCGGCACGCGTGTGGCTGATCCCCCCCCCACACTCCCCTCTCTTTTAGCACGCGATGGTTAGCCATCACTGTTGTAGGTCATCTAGTCCAACCCAAGTTTGAATGCTGTTTCTCTCTGCCGCAGCACTTTCTGAATGGGACTTACAGGACTCAAAGAGGCGCCTAACGGCTGGTAAATTTCACTGTGCTACATAAGGCGCTCTCCCAGCAAGAGCAGCAGCGGAGAGAAACAGCTGCTGACCTGGAGAGCACATGGAGCATCTCTGCGAACAATCGAAGCTCGCCCAACACCAAGGGCCAGAAGAAGCAGCTGAAAGATCTGAGAGACGCTGGAAATTCAACCCGGTTGCTTCTCTCCACTGCAGCGTTTTCCAGATGGGAATTTTTACAGGTAAGAACCTTACCTAAACTGCTTTGGGGCCTCTGCGCTCCTGCTGCCCCCCAGCATCTTTGACCCCATGTCTTTCTCGGAGCCCCTCAAATATTAGATTTAGGTCTTTAAGATTTAGATCTATAGAAACTCCTTGCCAGAGGTCTTAGTGAGATAGGCCTTACCTAGAATGCTTTTCTCAGCTAAAAAGGTAAAGGTAAAGGTTCCCCTCACACATATGTGCTAGTCGTTCCCAACTTTAGGGGGCGGTGCTCATCTCCGTTTCAAAGCCGAAGAGCCAGCGCTGTCTGAAGACGTCTCTGTGGTCATGTGGCCAGCATGACTCAATGCCAAAGGTGCATGGAACGCTGTTACCTTCCCACTAAAGGTGGTCCCTATTTTTCTACATGCATTTTTTACGTGCTTTCGAACTGCTAGATTGGCAGAAGCTGGGACAAGTAATGGGAGCTCATCCCGTTACACGGCACTAGGGATTCGAACCGCTGAATTGCTGCCCTTTCGATCGACAAGCTCAGCGTCTTAGCCACTGAGCCACCGCGTCCCGAGTTACACCACTTTTAAAACCCGCAACACCTACACCAATTTTAAAACCCGCAAGCAAAATATTCTTTATTTATATATAGTCTGATATCAGCATGGAACAGAATTAAGGTGTGTATTGTAGGGATTCATTACAGAAGGAGTAAAGTCTCAAATTTTCATTTCAGTTTATGAAGAACTTCATCTGGGAAGACCTTGAATACAATGATGACAGCATTCTAAAAAGATTTCTTCCCTGTAATTGTATTCCTTTATTATATCATTAAAATCTTAAAAGGATTGGCTAAAAAGTACTTTAGTGATGTTTCAAAGATCAAACCAAGCATAAATGAAACATGTAAAATGATACAACAAAGGCATCAAATTGGAAAGAGGTCCAATCTTAGGAACAGTTCTTCAATTTCCACAAGCATTACTTTATCTTCCAAATTTATATTAAATTATATTTAACATATTCACACATGTTAAAAATGGCATTTTGAAGTCATGTCAGAGATCAATTTAGAAAAAGTTTTAAAGCCCTATTAAGAATCACAGAGATGCACATGTGTGCCAAAACAGAGGTGTGGCAAAAGGCCATGATGTCTGCAACTTAAGCAAAACCACACTTCTTAAAAGACACAAAACGAAAGCTTACAAAATTGGCAAAGGGAAGCAAAAAAAACAAAAAAAAAACAAAAAAAAACAAAAAACCATAGAATGCATTTTTAAATATGATAGCTTCCTTGGAAATTAAGACCTCAGAATGAATATTAATGTGGATATCCTGGAAACCAGTCTAGCTTAATACGTTCTATAGCTTAACCTTTTATTTGTTTAGTTAGCTAAAGAAAGAAAATGTCAAACACAATACAACGGGATGTCTGCATGAAGGGTGAAATGAATGTTAGTGTATACGTTCAGGTACAGTGGTGGGTTTCAAATTTTTTTACTACCGGTTGTGTGGGTGTGGCTTGGTGGGCGTGGCGTGACTCGGTGGGTGTGGCAGAGGAAGGATACTGTAAAACAGAGCCTGTAGTACAGTGGACTAAAGCTCTGTGATTAACAACTGCTGCTTGCAATTACTGCAAGTTCAAATCTCACCAGGCTCAAGGTTGACTCAGCCTTCCATCCTTTCAAAGGTAGGTGAAATGAGGACCCAGATTGTGGGGGCAATAAGCTGACTTTGTATAAATATACAAAAGTATGAAGGCTATTGCTTAACGCATTGTAAGCCGCCCTGAGTCTCCGGAGAAGGGCGGCATATAAATTAAAGAAAAAAAAAAAAAAAAAACCTCCATTCCCTCCCCAATCCAGGGGAATGTTACTGCAAAATCCCCATTTCCTCCCGATCAGCTGGGACTCAGGAGGCAGAGAATAGATGAGGGTGGGGCCAGTCAGAGGTGGTATTTACTGGTTCTCCGAACTACTCAAAAGTTCCGCTACCAGTTCTCCGAACTATTCAAAATTTCCACTACCAGTTCTCCAGAACTGGTGAAAACCTGCTGAAACCCACCTCTGGTTCAGGATAAAAGTCTAAGTTTCTAAAAACATTCTCATCTCAGCCATGAATGTTTCAGCTAAAGGCCTGCTGTGATGTCATCCTTGCAGATGAAGACACTCGATTGAAAGTTGTATAGATATAGGCAGAATATCATTTTCTGTTTCATGTTGAAAAACTGTAGATCAACTCTTACCGTAAGGCAAAATGAAGCAACTCTGTCAAGTTTGGGTTGTGTGAGGAACGACATGTTTGGGCTAATCTTAATGCCATTGTGCTGTGTACCAAGAAGGGGTTGCTGACCCAGCCATCCAGTTAGTGAGAAGAAATCCTTACAGTGATTTCTTCTGTGAGATGGCTGTGGTGTTTGCAAACCAATTTCCCAGGCCATTTATGACAGAAGGGGCGATTTTGGTTACAACCCAGCCAATTGGCATGTCGATGTTTTCCTTAAAATTAAATGTGTTAGAAATTCTGTATATAGCCCTGCAGACCAGACAGTGCACACTCCACATGTGCTTTACTGCTTAACTGCAACAAGGAAACAGGAAACTTTATATAGAGAAAAGGCATAGAGCAGTGATGGTGAACCTTTTAGACACCAAGTGCCCAAACTGCGCGCGCGCATCCCCAAACTGAAAGGTGCACACGTGCAAACATGCATATGTGCGGACATGCATGGACATGCACATGCACGAACATGCATGGACATATGCATGCATGGACTTAGAGGAAAGTGGAGGCTCACGGCTGTTAAATTTCACTGTACTGCGCAAGACACTGTCCCAGCAAGAGCAGCAGCGGAGAGAAACAGCTGCCAATCCGGAGAGCACATGGAGTGTCTCCCTGAGCGACCAAAGTATGACCAGCACCAACAAGGGCCGCAAGAAGCAGCCGCAAGATCAAGCAACATCTTGATGGGTGGAAGGCCTGAGAGAAAATTCTTCCCCTGAGGGCTGCCCGCCTGGATCGCCGCTGCCACTCTGGAGCTCACCCTCAGGACGGATCAGTAAGTTCTTATTTTGCTCTCCGGGAAGGGCTCTGTTGTGGAGGGCTATGTGCCCAGACCACAAGCTTTCTCTCAGGCCTCCTGCCTGTGGCAGCGGGAGAAGAAAGTGTGTGGCGGGGAAGGCTGCCTGCAGTTCTTGCAGCCAAAGCCAGGATGTCTGTGAACTTGCATATGTATGAGGTCTTCTGCCTTGAGCAGAAGGTTGAACTGTAAGACCTCCAAGGTACCTTCTAGCTTGTGATTCTAAAGTTTCCAAAACAGGGGAATTTGCTAAAAGTGTGTGTGTGTGTGTGTGTGTGTGTGTGTGTGTGAGAGAGAGAGAGAGAGAGAGAGAGAGAGACAGAGAGAGACAGAGAGACAGAGAGACAGAGAGACAGAGACAGAGAGAGAGGGAGGGAGGGAGGGAGGGAGAAATGTGGCTTCTTAGGGGTGCATTTTGGAGAAATATCAAGAGAAATGCTAAAAGGACAATCAGTTTGGGATTAAATTCCAAATGAAATTGGGTCTTCAGGGTAAGGAGACATGAAGAACTTTCAACTGCAGGTTTCTAAAAATCTTACTAAAATGAATGTCTAGAAGCAGCTCTTAAACTCATTAGTCCAGAGGGAGCAAAAGAGATGGGCTATCTCTTAGGCAAAGAAGTGACGTTGAGTTGGCCACGCCTACCGAGTCATATGACCACCCACCCAGTCATTAGGGCAGAGAACCGGTTGTTAAAAGATTTGAAGCCCACCACTCATTGGCCATTGATCATAATAAGCAATATATACAATATTTGCCATCTGTAATCATGTGTTGATTAATTTACAATACAATTAATTAGCTATTTCTAACAGGGTGGATAAAAATCAATGATTTTTTAAAAAAAATCAAAAAAATCAGATTTTTTTTATTTAAATCGGATTTTTTTTTATTTAAATCAGATTTTTTTGATTTTTATCGAATTTATTTTAATAAAAAACTTTTGGGGTAAAAATCTATCGTAAGATAGTTTTCTATTTAAGATACATAAATAATTTAGTTTATTCAGCATGAAATGGAGCTTAGTTATGTAGCATGAGGCTGTATATTCTGCAACACTGGGACTATCGGTGAGTCAACAGTGGGTCAAAGGAGTAGCAGAGATGACAATTGCTCTTTAAAAATGATTTAAATCGAGTTGATTTAAATCAAGCCTTTTTACTAGTGATTTAAATCATGATTTAAATTGTGATTTAAATCAACTTAATTTAAATCAAATCCACCCTGATTTCTAAGTTTTAGAAACTTATTAAAACATAATTATGTGTGCAGAAGCGCACCAGCGTGCCTACCGTCCCTGTCCTAATGTTTTCTTTTATTTCTATCCTTTTCATGTATTTATAATTATGTTTACACTTGCATCTGTCATTAAATACATGCTTGATGAAATAAATAAAATAAAAAACAAATTAATGAAATTTTCCTCCAATATCCCCCCCCCTCCATCTCCTCCAAAGAAAATATGGCCTACATGCTTCTCCTAATAACACTACTTCTGTGGTTGATTTGTGGGACTGTTGGCCTATGAGTCAAATAGTTAGGATTTAGCAAAATGCAAACAGTTTAGAAACATGGCTCTATTAATATAAACTTCTGAGCAAACAGCTACAGAAAGATACTTGCCACACATATATCTCCATCCAAAAACATCTCGAAATATATATATATATATATTATATTATATTATATATATATATATTATATATATATAATATTTTACTTTCTCTTTTCTCAATGGTTGGTCTGGTTCAAAACATAAATTAAGCTGGGCTCCTTTTCAGCATGTCAAATTAATCCCAGCAAATGTACATCGGCTTTAAAGCCTGCCCCATCCTCCCCCACCCCCCAAATGACACCAATATTTCTTAACCCACAGAGTCAGCAGTTCTCCAAAGCCATCCAAATGTTAAATAAATA